AATATTAGGTTATACTTTTGTTGCTGAGCAACATGACATAAAAGTCATTGTTGGAATTTAGTATTACCAAAATGCACTGGCTTTTCTAAATATTACAAGTTGTTAATCTAACTGATTTTTACCAATAATTATTTTATGAATACACCACAAATTCATTTCATTAATGATCTTAATCTTGATTAGTTCACAAAGGAATTTACCAACATTTGACAATTTATTTTTTTCTACATTGACATAAATGCAAATAGTGTATAATCTGCTCTACCCAACTATATTTAAATGCTGGCTGTAGCTATTTCTACAGCTGAACTTCATGAAAAATTGTCAGACCACCTGCTGTATTATCATAAATGGATGACAACAAAAGGCTGTACTAATAAAACCTTTAACAGAGAAGCATAAAAAAATCACATGAAAAAAAGGCATGAATCATTATATTTTCAAAGGATGCTAATTTATTAGCGAGTAAAAACCTATACTTTGAGATAGACAGAAAAATTCTAAAAAAAGGATGATAAACGAATGATTCCTGTACATACAAGTGGTAGTTAAATGTTTTTGTTTTTTGCAACTTATACTACATACATGCTACAGAATAACAAAATATTATTCTAAAATAATTTTGAGTTAATAGTTGTTGAAATAGAGCTAGAATTATTATTTTACTTAAATTTAAAAATTTTATATGCGGGTGTACACTTGGCATATGAAAGTGCTTGCTACTTGCGATAGGTTCTAAATATGATAAAATACACAAGTTTTTTTTTATTATCAGAGTTGCTACATCTGTGCAAGCCAAGGAAAGGAAAGTAAAGCCACCATTGGTGCTTGTATGCAGTGTAACAAGTCAGGATGTAAAAATTTTTTTCACGTCACATGGTAAGTATCCCAATCCTCGAAAATTGTCTGAAAACAAAATTATTTTTATCTATAATCCTGTAGTTATCACTTTTTACATTGTGTGTAATTATCTTGTTATGCATGTTGATTATAAATAGAAAAAAAAATTTGGAGTAAGTCAGTTGCTTACTAGAAAATTGAAATTACTTGTGACATAAATTTGTCTTTAATTTGACATATTGTATCTGTTTTTGATAACCTTTTAAAAAACTTACAGAGAGTGGTTAATCCAGGTTACATATTTAGTGTTTGTTACTTAATTTGATAATGTAACTTTGGATAACTGTTATATTTTTAATTACAATATTTTTAAAAACTTTTTTTGTAATGGAAAACTTTGTTTACCATTTACAGTGCTCAAGCTGCAGGGTTATTGTGTGAAGAAGCAGGAAACTACTTTGATAATGTAAAGTATTGTGGATACTGTCACTACCATTACCAGAAACTGGTAAGTCTCATTATGAAGAACACAATTTATTGTTAAACAGTATAATCATCAAGATGGCATTGTTAACATAAAATATAATTGCTGTAGAGCAGTATTTTTAACATTGGATGTTCAAATTCCATTTGCTTTGTGTAACCCTATTTGTACTAAAATATTTTCAGTTGTGTGTTTCTCTTACTTTGCATGTTACAGGTTATTTAAAAATATTTTTATTATTCTAAATAATCAAGTAGCTCTCAGATTAGTACAGTGTGGTACTAGTCTTATTGTTACATTACACTATTAACTTTTTTTTAAGTTGAAAATAATTTTGTATAAAAATTTATTCTTACTTACTCAAGAAAATTTATATTTTGATTGTATCGTCAATTGTTTTATGTGTTATTGAATTCTAGAAAAAAGACAGCCATATAAAAACAATACCAGCTTTCAAGCCAATCCCTGCAGGAAATGCAACACCCGAGCCCAGTCCAGAGAAACTGGCACAACCACGTGGGGAAAACCGGGAAAGAGTTCGTGGTAGAGCTGAGAAAAAATCTAAGATACATGGAATATCATCAGTATCTCTTCCAACAGTTGTTCTCAATGGCAGCAACAATGCTTTAAATGGCCTTGATGTTTTGTGTCTTACTTCCAATGATAACAGCAGCAGTAGTCACAACAGTCTTGCTGAAGTGAATGGGCTTTGTTCCGGGAAGTCGGACCCTGCTGTCAGTGGAGCAGGCAACAGTACGGCCATCACAAGTAAGTTTACAACAGCCAATTTTACAGAAACAGTCATCACTGAAAGCAGTAGTCCCGTGTTTGGATCTGAAAAACATAAAAAAAAGAAATCTCCACAACAATCTGGACAATCAGCTGGAGAGGACAAATCTCCCTCACCCACACATCTTGTTTCTTCCTCTGGCTCTCCTCCCAGTAATTCACCTTCTTCTTCAAATCAGTCAGCAGCTAATCAGATGGCAACCTCTACATCCAGCTCAGCTCTCACCTTTAGCAGCATGTATGAAAGTTTCATTAGTGGTACTTTGAATCCTGAAAAAGAAGAGCCCAGTGAAAACCATGGATCGACAGCTTTACCAACTAAAAGGCCACGATCTCATTCGGCAGACAAAACTGAAAAGAAAAAACACAAGAAAAACTGTAGTAATTTAAGGTGAGCTTTCTTTCAGTTCTAAAAATATGATACTCCAGAAACTTTTAATTTATTTTAACCCTCTCAGAACAGGTAGGTTGAAATACACATCATGACTTTTTACAGTTACATTCAAAAAATCACTTAATTATTAATGTATATGATAAACTGGGTATCAAAATATGGTTAAAAGATTAAATTTTAATATTATATAAGTTTTAATTTCTTATCTTTAAAAGGAAATATTAAAATCTCCAATTTCCTCTTGTACGTGTATTGTGACATTTGTTTGCTCCAACTAGTCTATTCTCTATTTTTCATCTGATTTTTGTGAATTAAATGTACGTTACTCACTATAGAGTAGATATCACTAAGGCTTAGACTTAATTTTTATAGTAATCGGTTTTCTTTGTGTACGGAGGTATAAACTAGGATGTCAGACTCACTTACCATGCCTAACTCTTTGGCGGATTGCCAGTAATTCTCTCCGATGTTTGCTATTACATCAAATATAACCAATAGAATAATAAAATTTTAAATTTACTGAATGACCTATAATGCTATTTCGTTTTCATAGAGATTTTTAGTTATTTTGACTATAGATTGAAAATTGTTATTGTCAAGTTCAGCTCGAGTAGCTGAGGGAATTATTTTATGGCACTTATGTCTTAGTTATAAAGCCAATTAAATTATAATAGCTATAGAACATTGATTGTTCTGTGCATGTTATTATTTTGTGTTCTTAAATGCATACTGGAAATAAATAAATATTATTTAATGTAATAGTACCATCATTACAAAAAAAAGTAGGCTTAAGTTTTATCATTGGGATGACAGGAAACGACGAGATGCCAAATGTGAGTACTAAATTTATTGTTTTATGTATATTTTTTATTGTTATAAAAGTAACTAAAATGTAAATATCAGAAATGTATTAGGTTTGATAATGAAAAAACAAATTTCCCCACAGGGTATGTTCGCAAGTAGATCGAGTGTCACGTTATTCAACATGGTAATTTATGTTACATATTTGCCGCATGCTTTACAGCTAGTATTGTGGTATTATTAATTAGTCATCATTCAGAAAACAATAAAATTAGATAAAAACAAATGTAAACTGTTACGAGCCTTAACATTTTTAGGATAAATAATTGTAATTTTCTGTTACAATGTGCAATCATTCTAGAAAAAAAAAAAAGGGTAATTTAGATTTAATTTAAATTTATTTGTGGTCGTTATAAGGTTGGTCAAATCAACTGAATTCCTAGAGAGTTAGGGTAGAGAAAAATAACAGATAAGATATAAAGTTTATCTGAAAAGCTTGATATTCACTTAGAAGGTTTTAGAGATAATACAAATGAAATTTGAAAACTATAAGGTGAAAAAAGTATATTTAATTTTAATGTGAAAAATCACTTTGCACTTGGACTAGTCAACACACTGACTCTATGTATTATATTCTTGATTAAATCTTTAGTAAAAATACTTAATTAAAAAAATTTGATTTGTTTTTGTACAAAAGGCTTTTAATGTTTATTAAAAACTTGTCAAATTTCATGAAGATACACTTACAACATTAAAAGTTATTTCCTCAAAAGGGGGCCAGAGGGTGCCTGGAGGGGTCACCTGTTTTAACCACTCACACCCCTATACAGTAGTACGTTGTTTATCAGTCAGTCAGTAGACACTAACTAACATCACATAAGGGATGCTTAATGTTGCAATTTGTACTGTTGTGACATGATGTCAGTAAAACATGGGCATGCCATGAATCACGAGAAAATTATGCACTCTGTAGGCTACAACGCAGCATGACGTATCAACTTCAAAAGCAAGGAATAAAAAGATTTGTTACTCTTAATATGGATTTATTTACTCTTGAAACAGAACACTCTTGGGGAACCTGCTTAAGTACAACTAGTACCATGGATACTTTAATGGTAACCTGGTAGTTACAAGATCAGTCAAAGTGACCGAACCCTTGTTGAGAGAATTAATACAATGTGATTTATAGAAATAATGCAGTGCATCTTAATTTATCAGGAAACCACTGTTAAAAACCTGCTAGTGATTCCTGTTAAAGATATTGCTAAGACATAATACAAATTTATAACCTTCAATTTTCTTGCACTACTGAGATATAAAACAGAAAGTCAAGCCCTCCTACAACTTCTTGTTTTTCAAAAAATGTCAGTAATTCTCTCTGACATTTGCTATTGGGAAATTTATAACCAATAGAAAGAGAATATTTTAACTTACTGGATTCCTTATAAGGCTAGCTCACTGTGATGAAAGGTTCTGAATTATTTTGTTTACAGTTTCATTCTTTGCTATTGTTGAATCAACTCCACCAGCCAAAGGAATTATTGTAAACTACTTATAGCTTAATTGTAAAGCCAGTGAAATTAAAATAGTTATAGGACATTGTATTATTTGTGCATGTTATTATTTTGTGTTCTAATTTTAATATTTGAAATTTAAAAAAATCAGTAAAATACAACAAACTTACCAAAAATTTGGTTTGATTTTTATTGAGACTTTGACTGTACAAAGTATGACCTACCTGTAAGTAATAAATTTCTTGTTTTTTAAGTATTATATTTATTTATTGCCATAAAAGTAACTGAAATGTAAAAATTAGAAACTTACTAATTTATATTAATAGAAATGAAAAAAAGAAAATTAAATAAAAATATTTCTCTCTATGTATGCTTGTTTACTTATGATTTTCACTGTGCTTTTGCTAGGTGATTTATTGTTTTTTTATGATGGTGTAGTAGTTAGACACTGTTCAAAGAGGAATAAAATTAAATAAAAATAGTTATGAAAAGGTTAGAGGACTGAAGATTTTAAGATAAACAACTGTAATTACTTGTTACAATATGCAGTCATTGTTGAAAGAAATTAAGGGTAAGTTCGATTTATTTTATATTATGTGATGGTTAAAGGTCAGTCAAATGAACCAAGCTTGTATACAGTGTTAGGGCAGAGAAAATAGCAGATAAGATAAAAAGTTTTACTAAAAAAATATTTTGCTATTCATTTAGGAAGTTCTAGAGGTTGTGCAAATGAAATTTTAAAACTGTAAAATGAAAAAAAAAAGTATTTGTATTCTTAACATGAAAATCACCTTGCACTTGTACTATCTCGGTAAAGGCTTTGTAAATTCACAGGCAAATCTATTAAAAATGTTTAACTAAAAAAATAATTTTTTTTGTGTACGAAAGACTTGTAATGTTTACTAAAAGCTTGCTAAAATCCATAAAGACACACTACAGTTGGTTATTGTATTTATAAATTAAATTTTTAAGTTGCTGTTATAAGGTTTGTCAAAGTGATCAATTTGATACAAGGAGAGTTGATGGGAAAAAAAACAACAAACAAAAGTGCTACAGTATTTAGCAGTTTTAATTGAAAAAAGTGTTATATATACTTATTATTAGACCCCTAGTATGGATCACTGAGTCACCATACTTTAGGCTTTATCCAAAGCTGCAAATACAAATTGTTGTAGATATAAGACTATTATTAGAATAAAAAGAAAACATTACCTTGAGATTCTCTGTTTGACAATAATCAGTACCACTATATAGTATTAATGGATTGTTAAAAAAAAAGTATATATATATATATATATATATTTATCGACAGAGTAAGTTAAAATTTTGGGTTTTTAGTCATTAAGTTAAAAATATTTGTTGAATATTTTATTTTTTATGTCAAATATTAGTCCAACTATTTTATGTTGGTCAGTAACTAACTAAATCTAATGCTACAAAATTATTCCCAAAGGTCCAAAATTAAAGCTAATAAAGAGTCTTCAGGATCAGGTGATATGTCTCCAAGCAGTCCACAGTCATCAAATGCAAACTCAGGAACTAGCAAAAATAAGAAGAAAAGACATGAAAAGACATCGTCTGTCATTTCTACCGGTCTTTTGTAAGTTTCATCATTGGAAGTTATTTAAACAACAATGTGAATTCTTTCATGCAATCTTTGATGTATATGTACAAACTACGAGTCGGAATCGTATCTGTTCCAGTAATGCTATTTATTTTTCTAAGGGTGCTATTTTGTATCAGAATAAAATGTTTAAACTTTTTTTTTCCATTGTGCACAGCTGTATAGTGTAAAGACCCACTTTTTTTTTCTTTTTTTACAATGAGAAGTGTTTAAGCTATTATCCATTTTTTTTGTGTGCACAGTTTATATATATACGCTATTATTACCATTGTTATTAGGAAATACAATGTTTCCTCATTTTATATTAGCTATATTGTGATTAGTAAATAGGATGTATGTATAATACAACAGGATTATGTTCAGTTTTTTTTTGCACTGGTCATGCAATCATTTACAAAGCTTTTCATACACAACGGAAAAACTGTTCCATTTAAAAATTTATGCATGAAATGTTTCCAGACTTCAATGACTGATTCTCTTTGTACTTAAAATATTATAATTATTTTTCTAGTTAATGTGTTTGAAAATGAATTTCAGTGTTTCATACTCTGAAGCCCTTTAAAACACCATTAACCATTAAATGATATATAATTTTCCCTCCCATGTGCACTTGGATTAATGTTTAACTTAGAGTGGTGTGAGACACAAAATCAGCTTTCCTTACAGAGGACTAATCAGTGTCACCTAGAAATGCTTATGACTAAAAAAACTCTGGCCAAAGAAATTAAAACCACAGCAGTCTCATTTAAGTAGGTACCCGTCAAACCACCTCATATAGGTCCAATGAGTTTTTGTTCGGCTCTGATTTCATCTAGGAAACAATGAAGAGTTCGTGCAAAGATTGCCTAGATAAATGTGTAAGATTAACATCAACGTCCTTAATAGATGATGATTAAAGTGGAAATTGTAGTTTTGAATAATCGTAAATAATCATGGCTACAATTAATGATAGAGGAAGTAGTTCCACAAGCTGCATATTGTAGAACTGTAACTGATATAACAGATTTCCTGTTTTAGATAACTTCGTTCATAGTACATTTGGCCCCATGTTATTGTAGAACTGTAACTGATATAACAGATTTCCATTGTTCTTGTAAATTTCAAATAACTCCAGTAAATAACTAAAATGTTATGTCTATTCTGCAAAACAATTGCCTTATCTTGATTTATCAATCAATTTCTGCTCCTAAAAACTGGTTATTAATCAATAAAATATGCTAATCTGCAGAAATATGCACCAAAATATATCTTCTTTATTTTTATGTTTTCTTGGTTTGTGAATGATTTGTTTCATATTTGTTTTAAGTCAATCAACCTTTCTTTTTTTAACAACTAAAGTATTATTTTATTTATCTATTTCTACTTTAATTTTTTTACATTCATAATATGTTGGAAAGAAGTGGATAACATTTAGATATGTGTTTGCTACATAGCAACCAGAAACTTACTTAAATTGTATTGGTCTCTTACTTTTTTTTTCTACAGATCATCCTTGGTTAAACAGACTAACATGACAAATTTTCAGAGAAGTTCAAGTCCCTCAAGATCTAGCCCACAACTCGCATCATCTAATCTAAATGATTTAAATCCAATGAATTCCATAGAGCCTGTCACCACTATTGGTAAAATAGATCAAGTTATATTTGTAATGTCTTACTAGCAGCACCAAAAAGATGTAAAAAAATCAAGTTAACCCTTTCACAGTGGGCTTGTGCAATTTGCGGAAATTGATTTTGCAAATTTCACTTGTACAACAATACATGCAATAACTCTAAGATTTCTCAACGTATCCTCTCAAAAACTGGTAAGATTTTGTTAAACATCACAAGTCTCTTGTAGACAAGTAATGACATTATTATAATTAAGTGTTTTTACTTAAAATATATTATTTTTCTATCGTAATTACTTGCATTCAAACTATTAACAAATCGAATGCAAAGTGATTTTCATTTTAAGTATAAAAATACTTTTCTTCGTCTTGTAGTTTTCAGGTTTCATTTGCATAATCTCTAGAACCTCCTAAAAGAATATCAAAAGTTTTTAAAGGTAAATGTTTATATTTTATTTTTCATTTTCTCTGCCATATCACTAAGTATTATCATCAGTGTACAATGCAATGAAATAATTAAAATTAGGAAATAATGAAAAAAAAATTACATACCTTTTAATTTTTGTAGAATATCTTTAAAAATGTCCCTTTTGTTAAATTTGTAATTTCGGGTCTTTTTCATTTTCACATATAGTTAATTTTTAATGTTTTTTTTTCCTTTACCATTTATTATTCATCTCGACACAAGTAAACAGTGCCATCGAGGCATATTACAGTTTCTTTGGGAGACATGTAACCCTGGAGCAAAATTTTTGTTCAGTGCATAATATTGTAAGCCTTGAGATTGGATGCAAAGTATAATATATATATTTTTAAAATGTTTACTAAACCTTTTATTTATGCATTTTAAAACATAACTAATACATAATTAACTAAAATATAATAGTAACATCGAAATCAAGTGCTATAGTCAATCAAGTAGCCAACAATACTACAGTCAGTTACATGTAATCTGTGATGACAGCTGAGTGCCAATTTCAATATAAGTGTTGTGAGATTATAGTGTAAAATGATCTCTTTGTAATGAGTATACACATGTGTATGCAACATCTACATATATGCTATAAACCTCAAACAAATTTGTTGAAGTTGGGTGTGGTAGCTGTCAAAGGTTGAAAAAATTATTACTTATTTCAACTGTATTCATTCAGTGAACTTTGAAATGAATGAGTCAAAAGGTTATGTAAGCATCTTATTGTTTAGATGTACATCTACTCAACTACCATTGTATTATTGAAGATACAGAGAGCCAAAGTAGAGAATTTTCAAAGTTCATTGATCATCCGAAGTTTTAAGGAGTTTTTTAAAGGTTTATTTTGAAATAAAGGACTTAGAACTTGGACAAAATAAAACTTCAAATCATAACATATAATATTAATTTCATTTACACACATTGGTAGTAAAGGTGTTTAATTAAATTTTGACTGTAACACAGTGACTTGTGAGGAAAAGCGTTTAAAGGGGCTCCCGTTGTGAAAGGGTTAATGTGGTAACTGTAAATAGAAATATTATTATAACTGAGGTAAATGATTCATAAAATGTTTATTTGAAATGCTTGTGGTATTCATATCATGTGATGTACAATTACAACACTTAAGAAAAATTTATGTATCACATTTAAAAGAGGCAGACTATCACATGGAATTTAAGCCTTTGACAACCATATAAGTAATTGCTGAACATGTATGGTGCTTCACCAGAAGTAACATTTAATGGAAACTATTACATCCACTTGTTTAAAACTTGGTGCATGCCTTCTGAATATGTGTGGATTTCTGTAGTAAACAATTGGTTTTTATCCTGTTTTCCTTTTGTTTATAGACATGCAGTACATTATATTGAATTTTCATTTGTTTTTGTGTGTAGTGCATGTTTTTCTCTGTAAAATAATTTTTATGATACCTTTAAAATGGGTATTGTGTCTGTCAGTTTATTTATACTTTAAACTTCCTAATGTATGCAAAGAAAAGTTATGTTAATAATCTTCATTCTGTACTTTAATGGTATAGATGATTCTTGTATCTACAAATCATTTTTACTTAACCTTCTTGGAAGAGCTGTTGGTCTATAAGAAAAAACAAACTTAATATATTATATAAAATATAAACATTATAGTATATTGCCTTTTAGTCATAAACATTGTAATGTTCAATCAAATATGTTACCTAAAGAATAAAATTTTAAATTAAGTTTTAAAAACTTGAAAATCTGGATTTTTTTTTATCCTTAACTTTTAAAGCATGATATGAATGTTAATCATCTCGCATCTACATGAATACTGCTACCGTACCATCATAATTAATTTTAAGTTTAGCTGGATTATGAAGTCTCAGATGATCAGTTCAATATTGACAATAAAAATGTCCACATTTTTGACTTCATGAATAATCATTCAATTTGATGCTATTTATCATAAGAAAAAGCTTTTTTTAATGATTATTTTGGTGAGTGTTTTTTTCTCTTATTGGTATATTTAACTATTTAAATTAAAAATTGTCACCTTTTAGATGCTTTGTTTTTTGGGCATATTATTAAATTTCTTCTAGAAAATTCATATGCAGTTGAATTCTTCAAGAGTTTGGTTTCTTGAACACTGTGAAATTAAAATTTATATAACTTTTTAAATAATGATATTATTTGAAAAGGCATTTTAAAGTCCTAGTGTTTTTTGTTGTTGTTTTTTTTTCACTCATTACTGTTATTTATTCTAGTGGAAACAAAAACTGAAGATTCCCAACAGTCTAGTGAAAATATTTCTTCCAACACAAATAGTTTTGTGATGAGTAGCTGTGCGATGGTGTTACCACCTAAACCCACTTTCAGTGCCTCCATCAGGAACTCTCTTGGTATCTCTGGAGATAACAGTGCGTAAGTTGAAAATGAGATTTTCTTGGAGAATTAACATTTAAGGCCATGTTGGGTTCAAACTCTCGACTCTACTTGATGAACAAATGCATAGCGAACTAAACTGTCGTAACTCAAGTACTGTAGCTCTTACTTTTCACTTCATTTGTTATTAAGATAGAATATGACTGAACTCTTGTGCCATGTCAGTTGGCTTGTATAGTTCAGAACTCTTGTGCCATGTCAGTTGGCCTGTAAAGTTCAGAACTCTTGTGCCATGTCAGTTGGCTTGTAAAGTTCAGAACTCTTGTGCCATGTCAGTTGGCATGTAAAGTTCAGAATTCTTGTGCCATGTCAGTTGGCTTGTAAAGTTCAGAATTATTGTGCCATGTCAGTTGGCTTGTAAAGTTCAGAATCTTTTTATTTGTTCTTTTGTGGTTTGAAATACTGGTTCTGTTCCTCCTTTTTCAAAACTTTCAAATTTTTATAGTTACACTTGCCTGCAAACTTAAACTTCATAAAAGTTGTTTTAATTTTAATAATGGATTTTCCATAATTCAGCTACGCAAATTTCAAAAATCATATCCATTTTTTTTTCTATCACGTAAGGATGTTTTACAAATTGGGAAGAAAAAAAATTCTTACTTTGATCAAATTATTATTTCATTTACCACAATGAACTTTTTTTTTATTATGTTTGTAAACAAAAATACAAACAAACTGAATAAAAAGGAAGAACATTGATGTCAAACAAATATCCATCCTCACTCATCCTGCTTTTTTCTGTGAAATCTACATCTTTAGTCTCAAAACTAACTGTTGGCGTCTTTCTTTTATGTATTGTGTTATGACATTTTGTGAAAAATCTGTACGTGATGGAGAAAAACGGCTATCATTTTTGGATTCAGCGTACAGGAATTACTGTACAACATGTAAAAATTTCAAGACAATAAAACCATCGCAGGCCAGTGTTATTGATTAAACTGCTAACACCCTCTCTGTTAATGAATTATTATTATTATCCTCTGATTCTTTTGCTAGAATAATTTATAATATCTTAAGTTCATAGACCAGCACTTGATATGGTGCAAGATTTTGATTAAGTTACACATAAGTGCTGGTTGAATACATCTGACAGAATCTACTAGAAGAGACTGAATTTCCAACAAGTGATATTAGTTCAAATGCAGTAGTTATAAAATTAAACAGTACAACCAGTGCTTAATTCAATCTTCTCACAAGGATAATGAATGTAGTTCTTTAGGATCAATAATAAATTGGAAAGAAATGAAAATTATTAATGTGTGTTTAATATAAGTTATTTAAATGCTGTTATTAGCAATCATTGAATTCAATGATCAACACACAATAATTATTTATAAATTTTGTGAACTTGTCTCTTGATTTTTATAGAACTGCAATCCAAATTGTCACACAACTAACATTAAAGCATTTGTTAACGGATAAGTTTTTGACCCAAATAATACATGATTTAGTTACTGTATAGACTGAAGTTGCTTTGAGTATAGGTAAAAACCCTAAGTGCGATTCTTCACTGTACTTTTGATTTATTTTTTTCTCTATCATCACTGTACGTTGTAGTGTAGCAAGTTACTTAGTCACACACACTTCAATAAGAAATAAAGTCAGAAATCTTAGTTTTCTCACAGTTCACAAATGATCACTTGGTTAATAAAGCAAGTGATTAAACACAAGGTCAAATAATAAAGAAGAAATATACCCTATAGATTTCTCATTGTATAAGATAATCTTGACTTTGGAAACTCTGTTTTTTATTTTTTTAGTATAGAAAATGATTTTTTTTTCATTACTATTACTATTTTAGAGTGCCACAAGTCTGTGGTAAAACATATGCATATTGCAACATTTGAAACATGACCTGTAGGCATGGGCTTTCCTAATTTGAAATATCAGTAAGTTCTCAATTATGTTTTTGGGAGCAGATCTTTTTTGAAAATAAAAATACCATAAAACATATTTTGGCTTATTCTGAGTTGTTTCACTACTTTCAATTTATTTAGTTATTTTGAGGATAAAGAGTAAAATAAGCTAAGCAACTCCCAAACTTCTGATTCTATATCAAGTGATGTAACCTTTTACTGCTATTTTTTACACATAACCACCAGTATTTGTTAGTTATTTTGAGGGTAAAGAGTAAAATAAGTTAAGCAACTCTCAAATTTCTGAATCTATATCAAGTGATGTAACCTTTTACTGCTATTTTTTACACATAACTACTAGTATTTGTTAGTTATTTTAAACTGTTAAAACTTCACCAGCTATTTCCAAGTTATGAACATAATATATATCAATTACATATCTAAATATCATAAATTATTTCTCTCAAGTGTCAATGTCACCATGTCTAAGTTAAGGCATTTGCCTGTTTACTTCTCAGACCTCCTCCATTTCCTCAAACTCTGGAACAGCTGCTAGAGAGACAGTGGGACCAGGGATCACAGTTTCTGATGGAACAAGCCCAGCATTTTGACAGTATGTCAGCAAACTATTGTGAATATTCTTTGAATGCTAAAGCAGTAATTCTCTTTTTGTTTTTGTAAAATAACTAATTTTACTTATGGTTCATTGAACACATTTCTATATAATAAATTAGTAAGAATTTATTATAAGACCTTTAGTTTGCTAGTCACAAAAAATAACTTGTAATTAAGTATGAAAATAAAAAGTATGGTTAAGTAACCATATCTTATAATAATTTCTCCTTAGCTTAAAAACTTGGATTAAATTATTTATTAATTTTTGCAAGGTTAATTATATTTTAGTTGTTCTTTAATATGTAGCTGTTGGAGAGTTACAACATTCATAAATCAATTTAAGTGTTTAGTTTTTGTTCTTCATCATTTGAGAGTCATATTTCAAAGTGTATGAAATATATATGTATCTTAGGAAAGCTGTTGTACATTAATGCAAACCTTGCCTTATAGCTGGACTTTTTATATTGTAATTCACTGACTTTTTGTTGTCCAAGAGGCTTGTATATTTATCCTTAATTTTAAAGTGTGTGTGTGTATATTTTAATTTTTTCTTGAACTATATCATGTGTTATAGTACTCTTTCTCAATCCTTTCTATTTCCAGTTGCTTCTTTGTTATCTTGTCTCAGTCAACTTCAAGCAGAAAACCGCCAGCTTGAGGAACACGTCAGTAATCTGATTGCTCGACGAGATCACCTTCTGGCAGTTAATGCACGGTTGGCTCTACCATTAAACAGTTCAGCTTCATACCTGAATGGGACTAATGCAGTAAATGGAGGAAGTATTTCTCCTGATGCTTTGCAAGCTCCTCGTCTAAACAGTTTTCTACCTGTAGAAAATGGAATACTGTTCAACCAGCAGGTAGATATTTTTTTATGTTAGTATTTTGGCTATATGTAGTTGAGAAAAATGTTTCAGTTTAAATTACAATTCTATGAACCTGAAATAGCAGAGCCATAAAGCTTCTAGCCCCTTGGTGCTGACTAAGAAGCTGAATAAGATCAAATAGAACCCTTTAATCCCTTAGAATGCTAACTGAAAAACTGATGTAGCAGAACTACCAAACCTTAGTGTTAAGTGAGAAGTTGAAATAGCACAGTTTCAAACCCTTTACTTCTTCACCCATGTGCATGGGTGGGGTTCAAAGTGCACATGTTACAAACTTTTATAGGGTGACATTCAACACAGTATTATGTATTTGATATCAGAGCTATCAACTATTTATTTTACCCTGCATTACTGATTTAGTGATAGTTCGTGGTAGAGAAAAGTAAATACTAGATATTATATACAGGGGTACTAAAAAATTAGATATCCATTTTGGAAGCTGTAAATGTTAGGCAAATAAAATATACAAACTGTATGATGGACAAAATTATTTTTTTCTTCACATGAACATTACCTTGCTCTGTGACTTGTCTGAGTCAGACTAAAATCATCAATTCATAGACATATTTTGATTACATACACTTTTGTAACACATCTGATTTTTTTTGTATAAAACAGACTTGTACATTTTACTTAAAGCTTGTCACATTTCATGTAATTATACCTAGTAAGTTCAGAATTACAGTCAACATTCCTTCTCCAACATGGAGTCAATCCATTGGACCAACCCTGTGTAAATTTGGTTAACCCTTTCTATACCGGTCACGGGTGAAAGGTCATGTCATCTCATTTGTTGACTTGCATTCAAAATTTTATTGTACTGCTATTTCATGAATTTATGTCAATAAGTTTGGTATCAAACTGTAGATTATAATTCAAAATTTAGAACTATACATTTTTCAATTTATCAATTTAAAAGTAAATATTAAAAAAACAGATAAACATTGATTTTTGTGTGTCACGTGGTATATTGAATGCAGCACTGGTTGAAATTAAATGTTTGTGAAGTCAAAATACTAAGTCTGTAGTTTCATTCAAATTAGAAACTCAAATTACCAATATTGACAAGCTAGAATATAAAATAAGAAGTTCTTTCTATTTGCTGAGATATTGCTCACGTAATAAATCAAACATTGTGGCCCCCCACTCAATTCCTTCTATTTTTAGAAATGCTCCCTTATAAACAGAATATTCCTCTAGTGGTTTTCTAAGCCTTTCTAACGTACTTAGCATTATTTCTTTCTTTAAA